GCACCCTATAACCCTATAAAAACCAAACACGCGGTGGTCAGCGATATGCTCAGGGTCGCAAATAAAGTTTCATCCGATGCTGAGCTGAAAAAGGAGTCCTTGCGTTTAGCCCAGAGCAAGGCCTCGTTGAACGGATATCTGTGTCTGGGTCAACACGCAGGTATTCCTCCACGCCGACAACCCGGAAAAGATTACGACCTAACAAGGTGACTTTCTGTTTGCCTTTCATTTCCGAGGAAGTGAGTAGATCTATCCGATCAATTGTGTGTCGATGTGGTCTTCAAGGCGACATACGGGTTGTCGAAATACTTCCAAACATCCTTCGGAAGCTTCTTGTTCGTAGTCGACTCTACGATACTGTATGCAACACTTCTAATTGTGGGATATGCCTTCACGGCAAAGTGGGTGACTGCATGAAGGTAGGAGTTGTCTACTCCATACGTTGCCAAAGCTGTAGATGCGGGTACATAGGAGAAACAGGTCGCCCTTCGTTAAAGAACATCTAAACGGGCTGGCTGGATCAAGGATGCATGCGTCACTAGAGTCCGTCGGGTTTTATTCCACGCAGGTCTACCCTTTGACGTTTCCGTGTTCATATTGAGGCTTGAAGCCGAGATCGTGGCGCGCAAGACCCTGGAAGCGCACCGCTAAAGACCCCCTTATGAACAGAAAGGGGGAGTGTGTAGCCATAACCCGTGAACTCGCACCCTTCCTTGACTTCTGCGTACGAGGTGCTCGTCGTCCTGTCTTAGCGGCGCACCTCTAAGGTGAGCAATCCATGCCTCATCAGACAGTGCCTTTGGAGGTTTGCTGTCTACTTGAAGTTTTCTTGGAGCTTTGTTGAGGCGTCTGGGCGAGCATGCCAAACATATGCTTTGCCCTATTTCAGGCCCTGACGAAGGCGAAACAGCTGAAACGTTGGCCAAACAAAGTGTTCAATCTCGAGAGGCTCAAACAGGATTTCTCTTCACTAGAGACAAGTTCGATCTCATTGGGACCAATCGGATTGCCTCCTCCTTTTAGTGTTCTCCTGTTTTACGTGTGAATTTGGCCTGCCGTCCACGTCCCTTCCAAATTTGTACGCTCTGGTACGTGCGAGCAGGAGTTGTAACTTTTCTGCCAAACACAGCCTAGCCGACCACGAAAAATGAGCAAAGGTTCTTGATAAATTCTAAAATAACCAGATCCTTGAGGGATGGAGCTTTGTTGTGACGCACGCTTGAAGGTGGGAAGCTCAACTGGTGCTCCGATAAACAGCTTTCCATCAGTTAGAGGAATACGTGATTTCGGAACGATATGGTAACACAAAAGGTGAAGCTTCAAGGCTACAGCAATATGCATAACAAAAGGGCAGACTGTATTGACTTATACAGAAAAAGTAACATAAAAAGAGCGTAGTTCGAGGCAGCTCAGTTGGCAAATGAATTTCAGAACAAAGGCTTTGAACTATTTGAATGTCCCTGTGATTTAGGGCATAAAAAATACAAATAGAGCATTGTTCACAGCAGCTGAGTTATCAAATGAAATCAGAACAAAAAGAACAAAAACTTCATCAGTATATCGTCACTTATGATGAAGAACGAGAGCTGTTTACTCAAAATAGCCGAGTATAAATTTGAGGGTATGGGATGTGATCAAACAGCCACAATCAGAATGTTCTTAGTTCTTGCACTGCTGATCATTACTCTAGCCAATTGTGAAGCCCGTGGTAAGTTATAGTAATTGATCATTGGGTATATCATTTACTTATATGCCTGCTCCAACGCTTATGAGAAACCCCCTATTTCAGACCACAAGCTGCCTTCGGACTTGAAAAGTACATTCGAGGAGATCAATGAAGAATACAACACACATATGGTCAGTCTTTCCAATAAATCCAGGTGAACTCCACATATTTCTAAATGCCATTCTACAGCACTTCCCTTCTTGTCAAAATTGGGGTGACAAGTTCCTGCCAAAGAGCTCTACTGATACAGTTTTCAACTTCTCTCTTGCTTTAACCTCGGTATAGCTGTTGTTTGTGATAATTATATCTTGTGCCACACGAGGTCTTTAGGTGAAACACTTCATTCAGTCAAACGGCCTAACGTTTCAACGCAATCAGTAGCGGATTTTCTCCGCGTGAGCAGTGGAACCTTGGCCTTCGAAGACGACGTTTGCGTCAAAACGTTAGGCCGTTCGACTGAATGAACTGTTCCACCTAAAAACTTCGTGTGGCACAAGATGTAATTATCTGCTAATACAGTTATGGTCGAGGATTCGGATCCTGGTTCGATACCTAATTAGACCAGAAAAGCCTTCACGTTCCCTAAATAGCCTTATTGATAGGAGGCCAGCAGAGCAGAATATGGGTAATGTTCTTTGTCGGCTGACCCCTGTGATTCATTGTGTGAACCACCACGCTAGGATAAGGAGCTTAGCTCAAAACGAGTGTAGTCAACGCTAGTTCCGAATTTCAATGGAATGGCATTCAGAAATGGGACGCTGATCTGGCAGACAAGGCAGCGAAGGAAGCACTAACGCCATACCATGAAGGAGCTTATTTGAAGATCAGAGGCCAAAAGTTGGTATTGCTGGCTTGATGGATTGTTCATTTTTTTATATCTTGAGAATTATCCTGAACATTCAGGGAGTTTTCGAAGAAAGATGAATCAACATTGGCGGACAGACTGCATCTCATCTTGAAGAACCCCTTCAAGAGAATGGGAAACAGAGTGAGTTGGATCAACAAGATGTTCACCACATCACAGCAAAGTAATACTGCGGATGAGAAACTTTCTAGAGCTTACGTTGAATTGGCCAGCGGCAATGGATAATATTGCATTTCCCCATGCATTTCGGTAGAGTAGAATTTCCACCCCCCTCATCTCACCTCCCACCCCTCGCAGTCTATACAGCTCCTCATCGTGGAATTACAACAAAGTACAGCCATGAAAAGGCCCAAAGATGGGAAGGGTTCGTGCTGAGGCCCTTCTTAGGATAGAGGTTCGAAGTGAAACATGTCTGAATCGATATGAATCGATTCACCTTGGTCTCGGAAAATTTGGAGGCTTGTCTAGTACATCTGTATAACCAGTTTCGTTTCTTTGGAACATTTCCATATATATGCCTTTCTTTTTCTACTATCAGTTTCTCGTGATAAATTCTCGCCTGAACAGTTAAGTGCCTTCCTTTCCGTCAAAGTCTCATTACTGGCCAAAAACTGTAAACTAGTATAATTTTAGGTTCGCCACCTTCCCGAAGGAACAACCTACGGATGTAGCGGCATATACGATACAGAGGGACGCAGTGACCTCATGTATGTTGCTTGTCTTTACAACAAGCCATAATGAGAACATCACAACTGTAAACTTCCGAATAAATTGCTGAAAGACTCTCCCTTCTGCCGTGCTACTTGCCCTTTTAAACACTCTTTTCCGAGTTACACCGCTTAAGTATAACGTCTTGCCATCCAATAATTATTACAGTAAATGTCCCTAACTCCAGTAATACTGTGAGTTTAGTTTGCGGTGACCTCACGGTTCAAAGGAAGACTGTTATTCCAAGTAGGACAACAACAAGTTGGGAAAAAGTATTTTCAACTGTTCGTATTAGATAAAGCGAGTTTTAGCTTTGAGAAGGGGATCTGAGAGTGGCGGTTATATGAAAGGCAGCTTTGAGTCACTATTATGAGCATGAAAAGAAAAGGAGAAAGTGGTTCCAATAGGAAATCGGGTAAAGGTAATGCCTAAAGTGAAGTAATCGATCTGGTGAGGAGGTATGTTAAAGCAAAGTTGTGAGAAGTTCAACATTTTACAAGAAAAAATATAATAAAACGAAAATTTAAGCTCAAAAGCAAATAAGAACTATCATACAAAGCGGAAAAGGTTTTCTGATCATTTCTCAGAAACAGACAATAGATATGAGATAAACGACGTGCGAAAAAAAAATCATGAGGATTCCCACATATCAGTTACGACTACCATTTTCATGTCGAAAGTGAATGCAATGATCAAAAATATGAAAAAGGAATAGATGATGACAGAGAGATGGAGGAAGCCTGAAATGATTCACGCCAAGAACGAACCCGGATCAATAATGGGAGCCTTGTAGCTAACGGTGTCACCTGGTCACTTATTTGGACATTTGTGATCTACAATGTGATCTGCAAATTCATTCTTTTAGACCCACAAATTTACTTTCCCAGATGTACATGGCCAGCGGAACCATGGCGTACTCTCATACAGATAGATCGATGTACGTTGTACTGGTTATAACAAAAGTAGTCGGGCATGATTCATGGGTGAGGAAATGAGCAACTGGATCTCACCTTGGGTACGTGTAGTATATGCTCTATCACTCCGAAGTATATCTAATACTGATGAGCGAACTGTGAGGATGGAAACACTTATTCAGAATACGTGCCCTCTACTCATACCTTCCTATAATGGCAGAATACATCTGAAGGCTTTCACAATCACGGGCAGGAATTGAGAACGTGGCGCATCCTTGCAGGTATTCGGCATTGATTTTTCTTGAACTACAACATCCTAAAGAATGCCCTGCTGAACGGAAAGGAGCTGCCAATTCTTCTTTGAATGGCTTTGATATCCACTTGACGTTCCAAGATCTTCTCAAGAACGTGCGAAACCCATTCAAGCATTTCAGCAATTTTCGAGCACCTTACGATTACATGTCTTCTACTTTTTAATCAAGAGGAGTATGTCTAAGGAAAATTTCCAAACAGACCTCTCCTCACTTCTAGGAAATGACCAACCTCTTTACCGAAAATTACAAGAGGTCTCAGCATAGTAGAAACAGAGCTGTCAGTACCTAATCACCTCAACCTCTTTAGCGATTAAAAGTTTTGAGACACTTTTGCCTACTGCGGCCAGCTATTCGCACAGGGACCCACATGCACGCAATTTCACACATTGTATAGGTCATGCAATCACACCCCTTCCACTTTATCTTTCTGGTATTATTCTCGTATAGCCCTTTTTTTGAAGATTTTTAGGAAGCTTTTTATCACCTTGGAAACATTCCCGTGCTTTCTTTGCCTCCACTGCACCATTCTCCACCTTGTCTTTCATTTTCGTCATAATCTGGATAACTCAAAATTATTGTGACTGTGCTTCTAACCATAACTTACATAGAACGCGTTCCGCGCGGCCATACAAACCATTTATAATCCCTAATTTACAGTGAAGAGGGAACTTCCGGTAGTGCCAAGCGAGTCACTCTCGAACTCTCCTTGTCAAATGAGCAGGATATTCGTCCCATTTCTTTAGTTATCAGCTTTAGCACTAACACTTGAGCGATCAATCACCTTTTTGAGTTACGAATTTGTAATTTGTGATACTGGAAAACAAATAGCGATACCAACACAATTATTTGCCCAGAATAATCTACATAATCAATCAAACAAATGCAAGCAGACAAGACAGAGCCAACGTTCCGTCTCCACCGGGACTTCAAAAAAAGGTGGTTAATGAAACAACTTTATGAAATAGGAATGAAGTGGAAATACAGCTTTTGACAATAGAGATTCAAACATGAACATAAACAATTCAACAAGGAATCAAAGAAAAGAAAAACAACAGTATCTAAACAACGGTGGTGAATTAACAGAACAGAGAACACTGTTTTTATTAGTTACAAGGGGCACATTCTAATAGTAAAGCCTTTCTTTTTTATCGCCCCACCAGAGCCTTCATCCAGCCACTCGATCCAGATTCAAGAAGAATTTTCAGTCACTCATCACTGTTGCTTATTTTCCGACTTTCAAGCCCCGTCGAAAGAATCGAAGCTGATCATTATGAAAGTTCAACTAATTATAACTACTTGTGATCAGAGTTTATAAACATGAGTAAATATCTTCTGAACCGGGTGCTTATTTATTTCAATAAGCATGCGTAGACATATTCCTTGAATTCCTTCTTCAAATAAGGAGAAAATTCGATTTTTACCGTTTCAATAACCAACCATATTCAACGGAGCCGTTACGAATTCGATTATAATTTCCCTGCGATTGTTTTGTGGACTGTCTCGATAGTGCCGTAGATATACACTAAAGGAAGGTTTTTTTTATCGAACACGATTGCTATATCGAAATTCCTTTCTTACTTTGCAGAAACCACCTTTCTTCTGATATCATTATCCTTCAGAGCAAACGGCTTACCCTTCCATCAAAAACAAAAAGACCTTCGATCGTAAATTCGCACGAGACTACCACCCTCGGCGAGACTTAAAGGCACCGTTTAAGAAAAATTTAGGGTACCCTTTTTTGACGGGAATTCATAGAACTACACTAGAATAAAGCGATAAC